CACAAAGTCAGAAAATACATTTCCATTTCATTCCACCCTTTTCAACATTTTTACAGAAAGAAAGGAGCTGGCTGGGTTTCCATGGTAACACAAGTGTGACAGTTGAGGGTATCTGGATATAGGTGAGAGATCTCCCTTCAGATCCAGCGGGGAGAAGAGAAATTAAGTTTTTATTTTTCTCCTCTTTTCTCCCAGCAACACACTTCTAAAGCCAAAGGGACCCTGTGGTGACAGTGGTCAGTGCTCAGTCTCCACTGTGACACAGGTTCATATGTCTGAAGCCAAACTGACTTTCTTGCCACATTTTTCTTTTGTCTTTCCCACAAACACATGAAGACTTAAGCTTCTGGAATCACAGTTGGAATAGGGCTTACATAGACATAGACATGAACAGAATTAAGACCAGGATATAGACACCAATATTTCACCCAAATCTTTAATTTGATTTTATTCTTGTACTTGGATTGAACCTCAGCCTTTTACATTGCATGCGAAGCAGATATCCCACCAAGAAGCCATATCGTCAAACCTTTTTGATCTTAGTTTATAAACAGGCCTTGCTAAGTTTCCCAGCCTGTCCTTGAACTCCATGTAGCCTAGGCAACCTTGAATTTTGAACACTTTTGTGCTTAGAAATCCTGGTAACTGGGATTAGAGCTATACACCACCACATTCTACCCTGACATCCTTATTATAGCAACTGTCCTTTTAAGCAATGCTCTATATGCCACCACAAACCAGGACTATCTTCATCCAAGCCATAACAGGAAACAAAATATATTCTTGCTTATAGGTTTTGTTTTGCATGTTGGTAGCAAAACAAAAAACCAAACAACTACTTTCATAAGCAGAAAAACTGAGGCCCATCAGAATGGGAAACAGATGAACTACAGATGCCACACCATAGGCTGCCATCTTTACACCTCATGGAAATGCAGAAAGGCTGATGAAATGTCAGGGAGAAAAGACAGAAATGCTAGGTGATGTGACTAGTGATCCAACTTTGTGACAATCTTTATTATGTGCACTTTGACAGTCTCCTAACTCTGGGGGAACTAGGAATCACAAAAAGACTTGCTTAAGTCCTGGATCCAAAATCCTAAGACAAGCTCATACCACAAATCACTGCCCTATCTAGATTTTCAGCTCCACATAGTACTAGATAGACTGTGTACTAGACAGTGCACAGATAGATAGACTGTGTGCTAGACAGTGCATGGATAGACTGTGTACTGGACAGTACATAGATAGAATATGAACTAGACAGTGCATACATAGAGTATGTAGTAGACAGTGCACAGACAATGTACTAGACAGTGTATATACTACTAGACAATGCACAGACTATGTACTAGACAGTGTATAGACAGACTATGTACTAGAGAATGCATAGATAGACTATGTGATAATTACTTTCAGTTGCCAACTAGACAGGATTAGAAAGCACCCAGAACACAGTGGGGCACTCTGGGGCATGTCTGGGAGGGATTTTCCAGAGGATTGGCTGCAGGCAGGGAAGAACAACCTTGAATGTATTTCTGCCATCCCACCAGCTAGGGTACTGGATTGATAAAAAGGGAAAGAGAACTGAGATTCAGAACTTCCTTCTTCCAGAGCATCAGAGTGAACACCCCCAACCCCAGCCACAGGAAGCTAGCCACCTATTGCCAAACCATTCCAATCACAATGGACTCTATCCCGTGAGGCATGGGTGAAAATAAGCTTTTCCTCCTTTTGTTGGTATCAGGAATGTTAGCATTCTGTCTAAGCTCCACCCTATAGTTACCTGGCATTGGCCAGGTAGGCCTGACTCACTATAAAAGGGACTGCCCTCCCCACTCCCACCACATGCTCATGGCCAGTCTCCTCTTCTTTACTCCTCTCTCTCTCTCTCTCTCTCTCTCTCTCTCTCTCTCTCTCTCTCTCTCCCCCTCCCCCTCTCCCTCTACTACCCTCTTAACTCTCCTCCCCATGCCCTGAACAAACTCTATTCTATGCTATACCAGCGTGTGGCTGGTCCCTCATGGGGAAGGGATGCCTCAGCATGGGCCTGCTGAGACATCCCCTTCCCCCATAACTCACCACACCCCCATAGAACATAACCCTCCTCTCTTTTTATAAACACATCACCTTGAAGTTGCTTTTGTCAAGTATTTGGCGACAGCAGCGAGAAAAGCGACCAATGCAGGTTGTCATATCCACAAAGAAAATGTGATGCTTCTAGGCTCTATTCAATCCCCATGATACCCGAGAATGCTATCATCCATACACATAGTTTGAATTGTACCGGAAGCAGTCTGCTTTTCCTCAGAAAACTGTAGCTGCTATGGAGCGAAGTAATCTCAACCAAGCCTACTAGCCTTACAGAAAACTAGACTTCTAAGATCCAGCTATTGACTACCTGTACCAGCTTCTTGAAACATCGCTGTCGAAGTCATTCAGATGTGAAGCACGCGGGAAAGCTCCCTCAGCTTTAGTTCACTTCCTTATATGAGTAGCTTAGAATGAGAGAGCAGATCCTCTTCAGTTTCTACTCCCAGGAAACATTCCTGATGCGGCCTCCTACAGTTTCTTCACTGCCTAGTCTCTAAGTTTCAAGTTCTCAAACCTTCATAGTACATGATTGAGAAGTAACGACTGACCTGAACTGTATCGGCAGCCTTCTGAATCCATGCATCCAAACAGCAGTAATTCAAAAATATTGGGGGATGCTGTACTGTACTGAGCATGTAGGTTTGTTATGATTCATTCCCCGCAGAGACTGCATCATAACCGCTAGCCTAACATTTACAGTATATTAGGCATTACAAGGAATCTAGAGAGAACTGAAATATACAAGAGTGTGTGTAGGCTAAGTCCAAATATGCCACTTCATATACGGGATTTGAGAATTTGCAGGTTTTTGGCTCGGGAGGCGTCCTGGAACCAAGCGTCCATGGATATGAAGCAAGGAGAGATGGTAGTTGACGTTCTCAATTTGACAAGGTACTTGCTCTAAATTGTTTAAATAAAAACTTGCAGTTACATCGTAGCTGGGTAATTCAAGCATATAGAATTCTCCTTAATGTTCAGAAACAATAGGCAGTTGGGGACTCCTATATCAGAATACACTTTTGTACTTTGACAAGTGACCGAAAAGATGGCAAAAGAATGTCCCGCTGTTAGAGGAACCCAGACTGAAATCCACTCTACAATGACCTTGTGGGAAATCAGAACAGTGGAGGGGTACACTAAGCTCTGACAGAACTGAAAAAAAAAATACAGCCTTCTGAAAAATGTGAGGCAGTAATGGCCAGAGTTGTCATTTCAAGGGCATGGCTTAATGACGATATATACAATGACCAGTTATTGCAGGTTGGAGGGTGTAACTTTTCATATATTTGCGATTATGGCTGGGAGTGTATGACGAAGATTCGGGGGCCAAAGATATGCTGGCTTACGACGGGGGTAGAAAATATACATTTTAGGAGGCAGGAACAGAGGACCACAGCAACTGCTGCCAGATAGATGTTTCCTGAGGGACCGGAAAATTTCTCACCCTGAAGACAAAAGTCCCTGTTTTCTCGATTCAGCCCACGATCCAGCCCGCATCCACTGCCACCACTTCCATGCCCATCTCCAGGCAGAACGCCACGGAGACGACGTTAGAACAGAATTCATCCCTCTCGTCTGCCAACGCAACCTGCTCCTGTGCCAGAACACCAGGGAGTGGGGCGCTCCAACCCCGCCCCTCCCAGCTCCCCGGCAGCCCTGCACTGTCTCCATACCTCCGACCTGAGAGGCAGAGCACCGGGAAGGGTTTGATTGGCTCCGTCTAGCCCTACGTCATCCTCAGCTGGCTTACGATTGGTTATCAGAGCGTGTGCGAGCGAAAACGCCCACCCCCAGGCCCGGGAAGGGAGTTGGCGCAGTCTACTACCAGGTCTTACACTGATTGGTTAGCAAGATGAGACGCCTTCTCATTGGTCAGGAGTGGTAGTCTAGAATCCAAACTCGCGAGTTGATTGGGTGCGGTGAACCCGAGCTTCCGCACAGACACCCCCGCAGGCTGTTGCTGAGGTGTTCTGGGGTCTCCTGACAGTGGCTGGCGGATCCACGCTCCAGGTTTTCCAGGCGCCCGTGGCTGTCTACCGGCGCGGGGGAGGAGCTTGGCTTACGTCAGACCCGAGGAGGGCGGGACTAGAGGGCGGATTGGTGACGTCATCGGGCGCAGACCGGGTTTGCGTGTAGGCTGGGCGCCGCCGACTAGCCAAGCCTCGATTTGCTTGTGTAACTTATGGCAGCGGCCCTTAAGGCACACGTCATTACGTGTAACGAGATAAAGCCAAAGCTCTCCGAAGGCTGCCAGGCTGAGTGATGTCGGCCACAGGCCGACCCGTCGTGATGGTCCCAAACACGGTGCGCACGGCTTCCTGTGCCCACGGCCCCTCTACAGTCAGCTCCCGCAAACCCTGAGCGTGGGAGTCTGACGTTGCCCACCTTCGGGCGGAGGGGAGCGCGCAGACGCAGTAAGGAGGCCCGTAGGGTTGGGTATTGCGGGCGGTCGCGGAAGCTGGTCCTCGCTGGAGCGCGGGGACGGTCGCTAGGCGACGGCGCGAGAGGCGGGGCTTTATCTATACCCCGCCTACCAGGCTGGCTCCGCCCCGGGCAGCGCTGCGGCTGGGCTGGGGCGCGCGCTCCTGCGCTGGGGAAGCGGCGGCGGCAGCAGCGGCGGCGGGAGCTGGGCGTGGAGGCGCGAGGGGCGGGGCGGGCGGCATTGCGGGCCCGCGGTTCGGGCGGCTCCGGCTCGGTCTCGAGCTCTGTTGCTGCCGGCGACCTCGAGGCTGCATCGTCCTCCGGCTTGGCCGGCTCGCAGGGCCGCGCGTGGCTTGCTCAGCTGCAGCCCCGCCGCTGGCGCCCGGGGCGCTGCCGCGGCCGTGAGCCGGCGTGTTCGTAAGGGCGGCGGGGCCGCGGGGTCGGGGCGCGGCGCGCGGGCGCAGGTCTATGTCGCGGGCGGCGGCGGCGGCGGCGGCCGCGCAGGGACGATGCGCGAGTACAAAGTGGTGGTGCTGGGCTCGGGCGGGGTAGGCAAATCCGCCCTGACCGTGCAGTTCGTGACCGGCACCTTCATTGAGAAATACGACCCCACCATCGAAGACTTCTACCGCAAGGAGATCGAGGTGGACTCGTCGCCTTCCGTGCTGGAGATCCTGGACACGGCGGGCACCGAGCAGTTCGCGTCCATGCGGGACCTGTACATCAAGAACGGCCAGGGCTTCATCCTGGTCTACAGCCTGGTTAACCAGCAGAGCTTCCAGGACATCAAGCCCATGCGGGACCAGATCATCCGCGTGAAGCGGTGAGCAGAGCGGGGCACACGGGGCTCGGTGGCTGCGGCGATCTCGGTCCCTGGCTCGCCCGGGCGGCACCACCTCCTCCCGGGGTTCAGATTTGCGGGCTTTGTTTCACAAGTAAAATTGGGCGTCCCGTTAACCCCTAGCTCAGCCCTTTGTCTCTAGGACATTGGTGGCGCTTCTTCTGGACCCCAGAGAAAACAAAGTTTCAAACTTGCAAGGAGAGAAGGGATGAGTAGGTGGGCGCCAGGGAAAGGGGAGCTGTCTAAGTGTAGGCACGCCTGTGCAGAGTGAGCGCGCGCTTAAATGCACCCTTAAGAGGTTTGACAGCCACAATTTGCACATACATATCCTGTGACAGTGTCAACACTAGTTAAGGGGACCTTTCTCTTCTCAGAAAAGATTAAATGTTGCCAGGAAGTTGGCAGAAATGGATTAGTGCAAAACTTTAAAGACGTAGGCAAATAATTTGAAAACCACGCAGCATTCAGTAGGCTTGGCACATAGAAGCACGCTTGTGACATTTACATTGAAAGCCTGCAGCTTCAGTTCTCTTTCTCTCTTAAAAGCTAGCCTTCCCACCCCCCTCAAAAAAAGGAAGGAAGCTATTCTTGGAAACCAAACAGAAGTTTAGCATGAGCTGTGGCTTGTGTATCAGTTAATTTAAAGTTAATGCAAAAAAAAAAAATGAAACAAGCAAGCTTTTTCCTGATGTAAACTGTTCAAAGAATGAATTTTGCATGTGGCTGGTAACCTGAATGCTTTCAATGTTTTTTTTCTCTTAAGGTGATGCCATGTATTTTTCCTTTAACCTTTTAAATATTGAAAGTCTAAGATGTTATTACAGAGTTTTGGAAACATTTTCTTTTCTGGTCCTTACAAACTAATACTACTGACAATCTTCCAGGATTATTCTACCTGTAGAAGTCACCATTTGAAGTCACCATTGAAGGTCTAAGTAGGAACAATCACATTTATCAGTCATTTGGGGTTTATACACTTCAGAGCCCAGAGCAAGTTATTTGTATTCAGGGAATATTCAAAAATTCCTTACAAGTAGTGGGTTTTTAACCCTGTACAGAGGTCAAAGGAAATGCCCTCTCCTCATTGCCTGCTTCCAGCCACTTGAGTATGCATGTTAACAGCCAAACTAGAAATTTCTATATTCTGTGTTAAATCCCAAATTACAGAGCAGTGTATATTTTTATAATCTCTTCCCAAAGTTGGTGACTCTGGTAGGGTTACCTTCTCTAGAGTTATTTTTTAGAAATGTGTTTCCTGTGTGGTACACACATGTGGGGGCGGTCATACCGTTTGTCTCGAAGCTGTTTACAGATAACGATATAAGTGCCCCAGCTGCCCCACCTTCACACCCCAGTTCATGCCCACACGTCTCCGTCGGGGTGGGCCCCATCATGTTGTTGTTTCTGGTGGCTTTGTGTGGCTCACATTTCTGCATCTGTTTACTAGAGCAGTTTGTGGGCCCCTCAACCCTGCAGGACACAGACTGAGAGTCTCCTCACCCAGACTCACTAGTCACAGCTCTTGGAGAGCAGTGGTGAGCTGAGCTGAACTGAGCAGCGTTTTCCTGTGGGGTAAACACTGTGTCCTGAGAGCCTCTCAGGCCCCACTTTTTTTTTTTTTTTTTTTTTTTTTTTGAGACAGGTTCTCTATGTTGACCTGCCTGTCCTGGAACTCGCCATGTATACCAGGCTGACCTCAAATCCACCGAGATTCTCCTGCCTTGCCAATGGGGTGCTGAGATTAAAGAGCCCACGTCCAGCTTGGGCTCCTACTTCCATGTCCTGTTTTCTGTACCTCAGTCTAACTAAGTTCATCAGTCGCCTTCCAGGTCCATAGTATCTTACGAGCTTAAGTCTAAGTAGAGAGAGGGTGACTGTAGGTTATTCACGTTGAACAGCAGTGTATAAGGCTTACTCTGACCTGAAGGTGGGGTGGGGGGGCACTTAACTCCTCTCAGTTAAGATAGTAACATGTGGCTTTCACATTAGAGCATCTTCTACTCTCTGGGGGACCAGTTCCCTAACGAGCCAGTTGCCATAGGAAGTATCGAGTAATTCCATCTTCTGCTTATTGTGTGTCAGCTGTCTGCTTTACGTATGACATATAAGAGTTTTGGGGGTTATTTAAAGTGCCGTAGTGCAGTTGGCATAACTGAAATGCTGTGGCTTGATACCTTACCCGTGACCAATCATTGATGGAGAGAATTTTTAAGATCTCCGAATCCATACAGCCTCCTATACACAGACATGGCTGTCAGCTAATAATGCATTTCTTCAACCAACTAACTATAAAGTATTGTCATTTTAATATGCCACTCAGTATTAAACACATTCAGATACTTTACTTTGCTATGCTATATCTTCGAAGTCTGTTATGACTTACCCAACATTATCCAAGTGCTTGGTTGCCATAGGTACCATAGTAGGCATTGTAGCTTTTGGATGTATGTGGTTTAGGGAAGTACTTGCTTATTTTACAGGCCTGAGTTTCCTTTTCTGTGAAAGGGGACGTGGCATTCCCTCCCAGTGTCATGAGGATGACATGCTGCCATGCATACGAGGGTGCCCATAAAGTCACTGGTGCGCAGAAATGGCGCAGAGTCCTTTCTGTCGCTCTTCAGGTGTGTCCCTCTGACCTGTGTTGATTTTACCCATGACACATGATTGCAGCTTTAGAGGAAATAATTCATATTTGTAATCACAGTTTGAAATTCCTTGCCTGTAACAAACAGTGGGATGGAAGAGCCATGTAAAGTAGTCCTGGGAAAATATTTTGTTGGTTTTGTCGAGTAACTTCCCTTTGGGGAGATCTTATGGGCAGGAAAATGAACATGTAACACACGTGGCAACAGAAATGGAGATTTTCATGGGATTGACACGGTCTAGAGTGTTTCATTTTTTAAAATATTAAAATGGGGCCTTATCTCTTTTTGAGTTAGGTATGTGTACATGCATGCATACTTGTGCACGCATTCATGTAGAGGCCAAAGGTTGGCTTGCCTTATTCATTTGCTCTGAGCCTCATTTTTTAAAAACATTTTTCATTATTATGTCTATGTGTGTGGTGGTCGTGACACATGTACTGTGATACACATGTGAAGGTCAGAGGGCAACTTGACCGTCTCCCTGTTTGTGGGTAGACAGACTTATGTGACAGGCACCTCTGCCCACTGAGCCACTGCCTTGGTCACTAGGCTATTGTGAAGAGACACCGTGACAGAGGCAACTATAAAGAAAGCATTTAATAGGGGACTTGCTTGCTGCTTCGGACACTTACCCATTATCATCATAGTGGGGAGCACGGTGACAGGCGTGGCACTGGAGAGATAGTTGAGAGCTATAGCCTCATCCACAGGCAGAGGGAGGCAGCCTGAACCTGGCATGGGCTTAGGAAACCTCAAAGCCCAGGGATAACACTTCTTCCAACAAGGCCACACCTCCTAATCCTTCTGATCCTTCTCAAATTGTGGCACTCCCTGGTGACTAAGCAGTCAAATATCTGAGCCTGTGGGGACGGTCTTATTCAAACCACCACACCCATCTACCTCTTTTTTAAAAAGATGTATTTATTTTTTATTTTATGTGTATGAATGTTTGCCTACAAAAGCACATGTGTACCACACATATACCTTGGAGGTGAAGAGAGGGCAAGAGGCCGTGTTGGTGCTGGGACTCAAACTCAGTTCTCCTGCAAGTGCTCTTAACCCCAACCCCTCTCTTGAGCATGCTACCTTAGTTTTTGAGACAGAGTCTTACTGAACCTGAAACTTGATGATCTGGCTAAACAGCAAGCCTGGGACTCCTCCTGTGTCTCAAATACTTGTTCATAGAGTGTGCTGCTGTGCCTTTTACTTAGGCTGTTGGGTTCTGAGCTCAGACCCTGATGCATAGATGGAAAGTACTTCTCCATTCCTGTTCCTCCTGCCTCCCTCCCTCTTCTTTTCCCTCCCTCTCCCTCTCCCTCTCCCTCTCCCTCTCCCTCTCCCTCTCCCTCTCCCTCTCCCTCTCCCTCTCCCTCTCCCTCTCCCTCTC